TGTAACTGAAAAAAACATGTTCACTATACGTATCAAAATTATTTAAAAAATCTGTAAATAATATATCACATCTGTGAAGAGGAACAGAAAGAACTTTTCCTGAGGTATACAAAAATGTTTTGAGGGTAAAGGCAGCCATCTTGCCCTATCGTGGGCTTCCCTGACAGCTCAGTTGGTAAAGAACCTGCCTGCAATGCAGGAGACTCCCTTTCGATTCCTGGGTGAGGCAGACCCGCTGGAGAAGGGATAGGCCACCCACTCCAGTTTTCTTGGGCTTCCCTGGTGGTTCAGCTGGGATAGCAGCAATGAGGTAGACCTGAGTTTGATCCCTGGGTTGGGAAGATCTCCTGGAGAAGTGAAGGCTACCCACTCCCGTATTTTGACCTGGAAAATTCCATGGGCTGTATAGCCCTTGGGGTCGCACAGCGTCAGAAGTGACAGAGCGACTTGCACTGTCACTTTGCCCTATAAAGGGGAGCGTGCATGTGCGCGCAGTTGCTCAGTCAGTCTGACTGTGACCCCACGGACTGCAGCCCACCAGGCTCCTCTGTCCATGGAATACCCCAGGCAAGAATACTGGAGGGCATTGTTATTTCCTTTTCCAAGGAATCTTCCTGACCCAGGGGCTGAACCCACATCTCCTGAGTCTCCTGCATTGGCAGGCAGATTCTTTACCACTACCCCACCAGGGACTGGAGCGCTGGTGATTGAAGGACTTGCAGGAGGCAAAGTGTGCACTAGTTTTAGAATAAAAAAAATCATGATCCCAGTTTCAGGATTGCCTCAACACTTTCTTTAATTTTACCTCCAAGAATTCCACCTGGTTCTCATGTTCAAGTTCTCCCCTCACATTTTCAGCAAGGGGAGGGCAAAAGTAATCATTTTGAAACACTCCCAGAACACTCTCCATAACAAATGCCAACAGTCCTAGGCAATTACTTCATCAGAACAATATCCAGTATATTAAATATCTGAATATCTGAATTAGTAGAAGGACATTAAGCCAATTCTCATCCCTTCTAGCATTACTGTCTCACCTGAGAGGAGGGAGATCAGTTAAGAAAAACCTTTCTGGTGGTTTGCAGTCCACCATGCAAAGAACTGAAAGGCCATCATTCCCAATCACACAGGAGAAAAGTTAAAGAACTGAAAATCAATATTCTACGATTCATCAGGGAATGGAGGTCACAGAGCAATCCTTCCTTCACTCCCCCACCCCAATATGCAGATACAGGGAATGACAGTTTATAAGAGCAGAATCCCAGGAACAGAAATCTCCATGAAAACCAGTTTGGGGCAGGAATACCTAATTTGTAATTGGTAAACTTTTGGAGGTCCAGTGCGAATAAATTTGAGAGGTAAAATCCTCACGAGGCATTCAGACTTAGAGATTTTCTTCAGACTTTTGTGAGTTTTACCTCCTGGAGCCCTACCAGGTTCTTAGAGTAAAGATCAGAGAAGAATTACCTCTGGCTTCCAGCTTAGGGAGCAGGAAAGTAGCCATTTTGAAATAAGTCTAGAGCATTTCATTCTTTTTCTTAACAAGACTTGCCCACTAATGAAACTATTTTATCAGAACCCAAGCAACTGGGTTTTTTCCAAAGCATAAACAACTTGGAGGCCTACCTGGTGGCTCAGCAGTGATGAAACCACCCAACAATGCAGGAGACAGGGGTTCTATCCCTGGGCTGGGAGATCTGGAGTAGGAAATACCAACCCACTCGGGTATTCTTGCCTGGGAAATCCCATGGACAGAGGAGCCTGGTGCACAGTCCATGGGGTTGCAAAAGAGTCAGAGAGTCAGATGCAACTTCGTGACTGAGCAACAACAACAAAACAACCTGGAGGAAGTGCAGGACACAACTCCAGCCCCATCTCACCTTCCTGTCTCACATTAGGAGAGGCACAGTGGGGCTGAGAAGTGCTTCTGAGGGTCACAGCCCTAGGGCACAGGTTCACTAAAAGGACAGACCTAATCGTAGGATTAGAGTATGGTTTCCCTCCCCCACACCTCATCACATCAACAGTGCTCCTGTATAACAATGGGAGGATACAACTGAAAGAGCCACACCTTTCAGAACTTACTGGAGAAGAACTCTCTAAGGAAACCTAAATACCTCAGGGAGACAGAAAAAAAAGGGGTGGGGGGGCACGGGGAAATTTTAGCCTCTGACAGCTACACTATAGCAAATAATAAAGACCACCACTATAGCAAATAATAAAAACAGCCACTTTCTAGCCAGATAAACACAAAGCTCATGCTAAAGTCTTCTGTACCTTCATTTCTTTTACCCAATATGTCACATTTAACTATCAACAAAAATTTATAAGGCACACTAAAAGACAAAAAAAGCACATTTTGAAGAGGCAGAGCAAGCAAATGTTAGAAATATCAGACCAGGAATTTTAAATAACTCTGAGTAATATCTAAGTGTTCTAATGATAGAAGTGGATACCATGTAGGAAGAGCAACAAGGAGACATTAAGAAAGAATCCAAAGGGAATGTTCTGGGTCAAAGACACTGCAGCAGAAATGAAGAATTGTAACTATCACTTCAGTTACTTAACCAGTAGGCTTTGTTTACGGTTTTGTATGAAAGTTTGTCTGATCTGAGAATTTAATGTTTATTCTACATATCACTTTTATTTTGGATTAAAATTAAAATGGAGTTATAGAGATTTTAATTTTCTTTTACTTTGTTTACAAGTCTTAGGGTTACTGGATAACATTCTAACATAAAATAACATAAAACTAACATAAAATTTAGAACTTTCTTCATCCATATATACATTTTCTATGTCAAATGTTAACAATTGCTTTGGCTCTAATTTTGAATTAGAGACTATCTGGCTTTGTAACTACAAGTAAAAAGTCTCCACGCCTAAGTTGTGATCAATTTATAGATGCAGGGGAATTATGGAAATGCATCATGCAAAATGCCTACTTGCCAAAATTATTCCATGACCTTGTGCTTAGGCTGAGTTTTAAATAATTCAGTGATGTATCAAATGAATAAATTTGTATTGCTTGTTACTCTAAACAGTCATGCATTCACTTTTCCTTGCCATTTTTAATAAAGCCTAGTTTCCTAATATTCATGAAATATTGCATTTCAATTAAATTACATAGGTTTTGAGAAAATAGTTTGCCCTAAGCTGTTTAGTGTTGACACCAGCTGTCATTTGCTTTTTCTTTGGTATAATGCCCAAGGAGGCTTTGAATACAACTAATGCAAAGCACTGTCATTCTTTAATGAGATACTCTTTGATCATGTATAAGATAACACTGTCTGAGGAATACAATAATAAACTGGAACGATACTTTGTTTATGAGAGATATGATATATCATAATATGCAGAGACATTGAAAATAAACTTTTGCTACTTTAGTGGAAATTATAAGTTTGTACTGTCCTAACTATCCTCAGTTCCATACATATGTATGCAAACATATAATATTTTCTCAGACAGCTCCTTTGTCTTTTACATTACCTATCTTCATGACATATAAATAAATGGACAAGGAGAACAAGTAGATTTCTGGATTATTAGATTAATTTAGTTTTTAAAATCTAAAGCTCTCGTTCAGCTTTTACCTTTTACCACCTGTTGAATCTGCTCTGTGTTTCATGATAGTAATGCCTCAAATAGTTTTAGAATTCTCTGGCCATTTTTTAATGAATCAGGACATCAGTTCTGAAAAAAAGACATTCTATAACTAGAAATAGCAGAAATAATCATTTTGGTTATTAGGATTAATGTTTTAAACCTATTATCCTATTTTAATCATATTACACATTTTTAATAACTGGGCTTATTTTAATAGTGGCATTTTTAGTCAGTTTTTGTCATAAGGAAACTAATTTCCATCCCCTTAAAAACAGCAGTGCAGAATTGAAATATGTGATGCTTTACACTTGGAATAGCATGAATTAGCAGTATCTACATATTAATAAGCTCTTTATAGTTGTCTTTTTAGAATTTCTCATATGTTCTATATGATATAATTGGGCTGATAGCTTTGGATCATTTTACATTAAAATTATTAGCATTTTCATAACAAAACATTCCTTTCAGGTATCCTCTTATTCACCTAAGCTCTCTTCTTCTAAAAGGCAGGTGGTTTCAGGCAGCTGGGATTTGATGCCACAAAAGAATTTTAAATCTGCTCCATTACAGAAGGCTTAGAAAAAGACACAGTCAGAATCTGCCACAGAAATGTTGGAAAGCATTTTCATTTTTACAAAAAGCAAGGGAAAATAACCCTATTCATCTCTTCTCTTGAATTCACTTGATCTGTGGTATAGAATCCATGAAAAATAGAGTAGCTTCAAGGAGCCCAAACTTCCAACTATCACTCATTTTCTTTGGTGTAGATGATTTATAGACTGATGTATAATAATACAGCCAAATACAGTACTAACTAATATCTATAAAATGACTTGAATTTTTTTCAGGGAGTTTTTTTTTTTAAGATTATCTCAATAACTTAACCATTTTCCTCAGCTTCTATGCAAAAAGACATCTCCAACTATACAAATAGGCAGACTTCTAAGGTAGCCTCTGGGATCCCTCTCCTCTGGAGCACATGCTCTGCATAATTTCCTCTTTTAGAGTATGAAGGTCACATATGGCTATAATGGGGTAGAAGATCCTTTGATTATTACCATTTATGGAAAAAAGGATGGTACAGTCACCCTCATTATTATATCACAAAGAGTTCTGTCCACTGTATAAGACAGGAGAGAGATTATTCTGTTTTTAAAGAAGCTGCCACATGGTGAGAAAGTCAAGTAGCTAAGATCTAGTTCTCAGCAGGCTGTTAGAAAAAGATAACGTAGACTTCATTCCTACAACTGCAGAGAAATGATTTTGCCAAAAACTAAATGAGCTTGAGAAACACAAACATTACATGAGATCACAGCCAAGCCAATACTTTGATGTATTTCTAGAAAGACTTTGAGCAAATGACCCAACTAACCCATGCCCCATTTCCTTACCTTCAGAAGTGGTGACATAAATGTGTGTTGTTGTAATTGCTGTGTTTATAGTGACTTTTTATTCTGTAATAGAAAATTAATACAGCTTATAAGGATTTTACATTTAAACAGATAAATATCATTACAAATATCTTTGAAAGTTTTTTTTTCAATGTAGGTAGGTAGATACACACATACATATATACTTATATCAATGTACATATGTATGTGCTTACCCTTACACACATATACATGCTCACATCACACGTCTCTAAATGATATGGGTAAACACATGGCTCTAAATGAAGTGAAAGTTTAACACTGATCAATATTATGTATCTTGGTGAGAATTAAGGTGGAATGCAAAAAAAAAATAGGAAGAATTATGTACATAAGGAGCTCATTACTAACGTTTCATGCAGAAAATCAACGCCGATTAAATGTCTTTTAATATTCCACTATAACAAAGAGATGAGATACTTAAAATATAATTGTCTTAGAATAATGAATTTTTTAAATTTAAATTGCAAAATATTTGTGAAAGGCCAAATAATGAAATTCTAAAAAGTAAAATAATACATTTAAATAAAAACTATCATTTTGGAATTTTAATAAATAGGAATAAACATTTTAGTGCATCAAAATTAGTACCTAAAAATCTAATTTTAGTGTCTCTATTAGTTTGTGCAGAGTTCTTTACTACCTTTTCATGGTAATTTTTTACATAATGTAAGTGTGTATGTTAGTTACTCAGTCATGTCTGACTCTTTGAGACACCATGTACTGTAGATTGCCATACTCCTCTGTCCATGGGATTTTCCAGGCAAGAATACTAGAGTGGGTTGCCATTTCCTTCTTCAGGGGATCTTCCTGACCCAGGGATCCAACTCTGGTCTCTTGAATTACAGGCAGATTCTCTACTGTCTGAGCCACCAGGGAAGCTTATCATGTAACATGCATGAATAAGTTTTAATATAAACAAATCCATTAAAACATAATGGTCTATTTAAATTTATACATACTATTCCAAGTCCCCTAGATCGTGAGATAAGATTTGGGAAAAGGAAAAAAATTAACTTTAACTCGAGTTTCTTTTGTGATAGGAGTGATATTTTAAGTGAACGTGAAAGTCGTTCAGTCATGCCCAGCTGTTTGTGACCCCATGGGCTATACAGTCCATGGAATTCTCTAGGCCAGAATACTGGAATGGGAAGCCATTTCCTTCTCCAGGGGATCTTCCCAACCCAGGTATCAAACCCAGGTCTTCCACATTGCAGACGGATTCTTTACCAGCTGAGCCAGATGGATTCTTTACCAGCTAGCTGAGCCACAAGAAGGAGAAAACAAAAACAATAAACCACTGAAACAGAGACCAAAGGTGCCTAAAAGAATACACGTTATTATAATAGATAGTCAGCTGGAAAAAAAAGGTACTTTAAATATGCAAAACTTCTAAACAGTCTTTTTTCTCCAAGAAAAGTTTTCTGTGAGATTATAGGGTAGAATTAGCCAAACATTTCTGAGTATGATTTACCTCAGCTATTATGCTACTTCTTTCTCAGAGCCCTCAAAACTGTGGATGAAGACAAATAGAGATTGGTCATTCCACTATCATCAGAAAAATGTAAGTATTCTGATGAAAATGTATTAAGTTCACCTAATAAAACCATGAGAACATACCTTATGCATGGAGTAACTTACCTTTTCATAATAATACTGAATTCCAAAATGAATTTCTAATGAAATGTGTTTTATATGTATCACCATTATCATTGATTCTTGTATAGTCACTTAAAAATAATAGTATTCTCTTTCATTAGTGTCAGGTTAAAGCATATAGTTCTCCCTATTTAACAAAAAATAAAATTAATGTATAAAAAATAATAAAAATAACCTAAGATATTGCTTACCATGCATTTGGAGAGAAAATGCAAACTTAGATTTAGTTTGTCAATTCTAAAATTCGCACCACAGTCTAATGATGGCTGAATTTGTTCAACTAAAGTATTGAGTGTAGTTCATAAATGGGCTAAAATGAAAAGATCTGAAATGTTAATTCTAGGTTTAGTTTGGATATTCTTAATATATTAATTTATTAGGTGAGATTCTGGTATAAATTACATCCTTAATAAAAACCTTTTTTTTCCTTAACAGAAGAACAAAAAGGAATTTAAAATAAATACAGGGAAAGGAACTGATTACATATCAGGTTTTATAGAAAAAGTAAAATTTTATTTAAAGGGAGTCAAATTTAAAAGCCTTACTCCTTAACCTAACTTTTGTTTTTGGAACTAACATGGGTACTAAACAGAAGCCAAAATTTAATAATAGGGCAATTCCAAACTAATTTGAAATTAAGCATTTTATCATTTAAAATCTGAATGGTCAAAGAGAATAGAATAATTTCTGCAGATAATTATATTTACTGTTAATTTCATTTGATATACATGATGATTTTTTAATTCCTAATTTTACCTGTACTGCATCATTTGATAATATTTTAGAATTTGTTTATAAGAGTCTTGGTCTGTTATAAACTAGATGTTATAAAATACCTCATAAAATACCTCTTTACCAACATGCCTCAAAATCAAGCAATAATGGGCTTGTGGCTAAACTCCAATTAATTCTTATTTATTAGACTTTTGGTTTTCCCATAAAAAAATTATTAGATACCATTAATTTCTTTAAGAAAACCTAAAATTCAGTCTTTGAAAATATATGTTGTTATTATTACTAGCAATTTACTTAGATGAATGCAACATTACTTAATTTAAATTTATATTTTATAGGTAGCTCCAAATTTATCTGTAATTCTGTGGTAAATTTGAAATGCAGTGCTAATGATAACTCAGGAAATTCACTGATGTTCTGATTGTCCACTTTTATATGCAGTGAATGAGGCATTGGGGACAACCTAAAATTTTTCTATTCAATGTACATGTTGACCCAATAGCTTGCATTTTGTTATTGTCATTGTATTTCAGTTGATAAAATGAATTCTAACAATCTACAACATTGAACTTATGCAGACTTTAAAAGATCTCTCATCTTTCAAATGGAATTTCTATAATCTACATGTTCATATTACAATTCATATTTATAGTTAACTTCCCAAGCAATTTTATTTGAAATTTTTGTCAGAACCAATTCTTCAGTTAACTGAATGTACACAATTCCTATTTCTTAATATTTCAAATTTTACTGGAATAGTGTATGTCACTGAATCACAGTTAATACACACTCATTGGGCAAATCAATACATATCCTTACAGTTCACATTTTTTTATTCATTATCTGTAATAATAGAAAAGCCTTCCTATTATCTTATCTGAGAAATGTTGAAATGGAATTAGAAACTATTTTCAGGGGTAATGTGCCCTTTTTTCAAAAGTATTTTCATAAAACTATGATGATTACATGTGAGCACACTTGATCTCTTATAGAATGTTGTTGCTCAGTTGCTCAATCGTATCCAACTCTTTGTGATCCCATGGAAACCAGCACACTAGGCTTTCCTGTTCATCACCAACTCCCAGGGCTTGCTCAAACTCATGTCCATAGAGTTGGTGATGTCATCCAACCATCTCATCCTCTGTTGTCCCCATCTCCTTGGGCCTTCAGTCTTTCCCATCATCAGGGTCTTTTCTAATGTGTCAGCTCTTCACATCAGGTGGCCAAAGTATTGGAGCTTCAGTTTTAGCATCAGTCCTTCCAATGAATATTCAGGACTGATTTCCTTTATAGAATGGACTGGTTGGATCTCCTTGCAGTCCAAGGGACTCTCAAGAGTCTTCTGCAACATTACAGTTCAAAAGCATCAATTCTTCGGTGCTCAGCTTTCTTTATAGTCCAACTCTCGCATCCATACAGGACTACTGGAAAAAACAGAACTTTGACTAGACAGACCTGGTTGCCAAAGTAATGTCTCTGCTTTTTAATAAACTGTCTAGGTTTGTCATACCTTTTCTTCCAAGGAGCAAGTTTCTTTTAATTTGATGGCTGCAGTCACCATCTGCAGTGATTTTAGAGCCCAAGAAAATGAAAGTCTGCCACTGTTTCCATCGTTTCCTCATCTATTTGCCATGAAGTGATGGGACTGGCTGCTTTTTCACTGTCCTCTTTCACCTTCATCAAGACACTCTCTAATTTCTCTTTGCTTTCTGCTATAAGGGTGGCTTCATATCTGCAGTTTTTGATGTTCTCCTGGCAATCTTGATTCCAGCTTGTGCTTCATCCACCCTAGCATTTCATATGATGTATTCTGCATAGAGTATACATCCTTGACATACTTCTTTCCCAATTTGAAACCAGTCCAATGTTTCATGTGTAACTGTTGCTTCTTGACTTGCATACAGGTTTCACAGGAGGCACATTAGATGGTCTGGTATTCTCATCTCTTTCAGAATTTTCCAGTTTGTTGTGATCCACACAGTCAACATGTAGACATTAATAATGATATTACAATAAGCTGCAAACCTCAGTAGTAGGGTAAATTACAACAATAGAATATTTTCCTTTTTCACAATGGAGACATTGTTTATTAGCATATGCAAGGAATAAAATCAGAACTTCAAAAATTATAGACAATTGTTTAATGTTAAAAATAAAATTACCCCCAGTTAAAAAAACAACTTTTCCATTAATGCAAAAAAAGAATAATCAAACATATAAATGCTACTTTTTTCCTGTGGTATATAATAGTAGCATAGTATTAATAGTATTAGTGCCATTAGTTATTAATGGCAATAGCATTAGTTAGTTATGTATTAATAAAAATTAAATTAATTATTAAATAATAATTCTAGAAAGTGCACAAAAATGATGCTCCCCAAATTAAAGATGAATAGATATTTTGGAATGCTATTTTCTCCTGAACTAACCTCACTAATACTCATATTTTCCAATTTTGTTTTGTGTTTACATTGTTTAAACCTAGACTATCACCCACAATGTCAAATCTATGACAGCAGCAACTTGAAGGAAATGTGCCCATCTTCTCCTGTGGGAACACCAAATCACAACTAGCAGCTGAATAACCATCAGCAGGAGAATGCTGGAGCCCACCAAAAAAAACATATCCC